CAAATTTGAAGAGTGAAATAAACTGGACTGAAGTGTTTGGTCTGCAAAATTGATAAATGATATGTTTGGTTAGCTGATCAGGTTTTGAATAGCGATGCACTTTTCGACGAATACTGATAAAGAGATATTTATCTGAGCATGGTTCAAATGCAATTTGACTTACTTTGCCGGTTGAAATTAAGTGGACAGATTTGTTTAACGCTTTTTCTAACAGAAATATTAGCATTTCGACATTGCAGCAAATTGGTTGATTTTGTTTTTCGGCACATCGGCATCTGTTAAAAGGATTTTTTCCATTGTTAAAAAATTTTGATCCGAAAGCAGGTGCAGAATGCCAGAAGAAAATATAAAACCACTCCGTAACCTGCAAATTTAATGGTGATGTCTCTTGTTATCAGTTTTATGACAAAATCAAAACAAAAAATTTTTGAAAAAGGTTCCATCTGCGGACAAATACTTTTGGTCTAAATGAATAATACAAACTAATTTTTTGTGTTTTTTTTAATTCAATGATCAGTAAGATTTACAGCCGTATATACCCGCAATGGCATGGTAGACGTTCCAATATTATCAAGACTGGCAATCGTCCAAATGTTTGCCAAATCGCACCGTCCCGGTTTTTTGTTTCAGATTTATGGTAAGCCTATAGAGGACTTGCACGGGTCACGTGACCTTGTTACTGGACGGCAATAAAACAAAAACGTCCATTTGTCTCCTGTAAGTTGCAAGTCGGATTATACGTTTCCGTTTTGTTTGGCTGTTGAAAATGGTTATTTCGTATTGTTCCGCTAGCTGTACGTATAGTATAGACAACGAAATGGATCTTCAGCTATATTCCACTGTTTTCAAAAGATCAGGAACGTCGCGCAATGTGGATATCATCTATTGGCAGGACTGCTTGGTGTCAAGTCCAGAAGCCATCTTACTCGTGTTTCACTGTTTGCGGACAGCACTTCGTTGATGGTGAGTCATGATGTGCCGTTATCAATTTTTTTAAGTACTCATAAGCTCCCTCATTTCAATGGAAAGCAGATGACAAACTACTGTTATTGGTAGGCTTAGGCCTACTTGCAGACTTGACTCGTGTAAGGTATTAATCAATAATTGCCATAAGGTATTGTTTCCCTAGTTAGCAGGTAATCTATTAGTAAGTGTGAAAATTTGAATAGATAACTAAAGTTTAATGCCAGTGCTAATGCAAAAAATAACCAAAATTCAATTGAATTCTCTATCTGAGAATACGCTCGCCACCGCATCTCTGATCCCCCTGGGAGTTTCACAGGTTCCAATCCCATGCGGGGATAGTTATGTGCGAGGGGACGAGGAGATTGCAGCTCTCCTCCCACTAAGGGTGGTTCACACGACCGCTGGTCGATTATGACATCCCCCACCATCAAGTCCATGCTTCTAAAACAAATAACTGGCTAACTAATCCCGACATAGAATGGTAATCGTACGATGTTGCACCTTGCAATCCGTCCCCAACCACAGATAAATTCTATCCTAAAAACTACCCACATTGGTAGGCATAGTTGCGTTTTAAATTGAAAGAAATCTTCATTAATGGTCAGAAGGTGTTGTCTGATTGTTTTGGTAGTTAGCAGGTAATTTATTACTGATCTGATACACAAACTTGGCACTGTCAAATGATGATTAGTGTTTAATTTATTTTCAGGAAAAGGGAAGATAACCCATTATCAGCTGCTTACATGTCCCATCGATATTTGAATTTTCGCCATCCCCAGAGAAGAAGAGAATAGTTAGAAAAAGGAGGATTTTGAAGAAAGGCAAAAGGCAGGACCATTTCAACAAATTCTGTTAACTTGTATGCGTTGCAATATTAATTCGCAGTTGTTAGCATAAACATTTAATGTGTCTTTCGACTAGACCTACCACACTTTAAGAAAAAGCCGCCTACACCCCTTTTCACTAGAACCATAATACTGTAAAATATTTGATAGAAATTACCCCCGAGGCATCATATCTTCCATTTGAAAGGGCTGTGGAGGCAGATACATTTTTTACTCTAAATTATGGAATGTTACTTCCAGGTTATCTTATCCTTGCTTATAGATATCTTGAGGTTAGTGACTCCAACTGACCCATGCATGCCACACTAAAAATTCTCTTGTGTACCCATAAAATAAGGCTGTTGAAGCCTCAGACCTTGAAAACAGTCGAATCTGAGCACGATGGATTCATGTGAAACAAGTAATACACGTAATAGCATTAGCATTGCCTATGGAATCAAAACATTAGACAAATTGGTGTACTGTGCGCATTCACAAATTTTTGCGAATCAAGTGTGCCTTTTGACTAAAGAAAATTTAGCATTGAAATGGTCAATCTCAATATCAACCCAGTATCTGCAGATAAAACCAATTGTTTTTTAAAAATACATTTTTGATGTGCTTTATTTTTCAAATATAATTTATAATTACTGTAAAGTGTGTGATACATTTGGTACCATGAATACTATTTGCAAATTAGCTTGGGTTACACGCCCTCTCAAATAAAAGTTCAGGCTCTTAAGTCGTATTTCATAACATTCTTTAAACAAAAGGCTGCGGCTAGCTGGCTACCCGTCAGAATTTCCTTTCAGATCACAAAGTCGCAATATTACGCCTCGCTTAAGTTTCATTGGCAACTGTATCTGGTTGTAGTATCGGTGTCCAATGTTAGACTGAAACCTTCACGACCAGACCCACCGAAACAATTTTTTTTTCTTGATGGGGTCGTCTTGAAGTTGATTTCGTTAAAGCACAATGGACACTTTCTCTCCACCAATCCACAGTAATGACAAGTTACTTTGTTATTACGATAAGCATCAATAAATGGATACTGAGGATGTATTATCAAGTCACGCAAGCTGAGGTTTTGTGCCACTGTGGTCTTGTTGCAACTTATACTTTGCCATCCATCAATTCCATGGTCGCACCCATATCTGTAAGATAAAGGATACAGATAAGAGTTTTCATAAAATCTAACGATCAAGGAGTGTGAAATTTAGGGCTGGGCATTTTCGAATACCTTGTGATTTCAGAATCGAATCGAATAATTTTTTCGAATCGAATCTCGAATACTTGAAAATATAAAATTGTAAGCGACTTTATTATAGTAATTGGTCCTCTCAACAAATGAATTACTGAAGACATAGAATAAATCACTCAGATAGATTACTGAGCGTTCACACAGAATAACAAACACGTTTTATCAATAACTCACTACAGAAAATAGTCATATGTTAGAATTTCGTTGAAAAAATATGACTTCAATGAAAAAAAAATTGGGGAATTCACCTCGACCATTAGCGGAAAGATAAAAACAAGATGGCGGCAATTCGAAATTCCAGTCTGAACCGATTCGAATAATTTACTATTCGATTCGAAATGCCCAGCCCGGGTGAAATTTATGTCCATATCCCACCACAGCCACTAGTCGTAAATGAATTTGATTCCGGGTAGCATATCTTTTTTACCAATGACAATAAAAAGACATTTTGAATCAGTTGTACAAGCACCATTAGGATAGGATTTATCTGGGGGGGAGCCAGTTATTTGTTTTCAGAAGCATGGACTTGGATGGTAGGGAATGGTCGTAACCGATCAGCGGTCATGTGAACCACCCTCGGTGGGAGTGGAGCTGCAATCCTCTAGCACAAAACTATCCCCGCATGGGATTGAAACCTGTGAAACTACCAGGGTGATCAGAGATGCGGTGGCGAGCGTATTCCTAGATGGCGAATTAAATTGAATTCTGGTTATTTTTTGCATGACCAGTGGTGTTAAACTTTAGTTATCTATTCAACCTTTCACACTTAGTAATAGATTACCTGCTAATCAGGAAACAATACCTTACAGCAATTGATTATTAATTCCTTACTGTCTTACACAATTCAAGTCTGCAACTGCAAGTACTGAAGTAGGCCCACACCTAGGCCTACTGATAACAGTAGTTTGCCATCTGCTTTCCATTGAAATGAGGGAGCTTGTGAATATTTAAAGAAATTGATAACGGCACACTATCACCACATTATCACTCACCATCAACGAAGTGCTGTCCGCAAACAGTGAAACACAAGTAAGATGGCTTCTGGACTTGACACCAAGCAGTTCTGCCAATAGGCAATAGATGATATCCACATTGCGCGACGTTCAGGATCTTTTGAAATCAGTGGAATATTACTGAAGATCCATTTCGTCCATGTCTATACTATACGTACAGCCAACAGAACAACGAAATAACCATTTTCAACAACCAAACAAAACGCAAACGTATAATCCGACTTGCAACTGACAGGAGCCAAATGGACGTTTTTGTTTTATTGCCGTCCAGTAACAATGTCACGTGACCCGTGCAAGTCCTCTATATAAGCCCGATAACCACCGTAATGGGAGCACCCTAGCGCTAAGGGTGAATCTATGCTCGTTTCTGACGTCACAAGTGTGAGAAAATGAAGTTCCTCAACTGACAACTCCTTTGGTCGAATAAAAAAACAGAATGTACTCGCGTACCACAGGTTGGGAATCACTGGGCCACGTGAACAGCCACACGGCGGCAAGGAGTCGCATATAACTAACTATACCATGCTCATTAGAATTCTCAAGGCTTCTCCAGTTAATGGAATACCGAAATGAAAGACGGCTTGTACGAAGTGGAGTTTTTTTTTGCGGAGGGTAGCGATGTTGGATTTTCAATTTTTGACTTAGTTGATAAGAAAATTGGGAATTTTCTAGCGATCGGCGCGTTTTTTCGATGTTGCCATGGAAACGAAATTTTAAATCTGGACTTTCGATGAAACGAACATCACCAGGGCAACCCACGTGAGCAATTTCGTATAGATAGGCTCAGCTGTTTGGGCGCTACAGCTTCGACTTACTGACTGAGGATAACAAGGGTCTCGTCTCATAGAGCAGAGATCCAACAGAACGACTGATAATAATGTCTCCTGAAGTGGAGATCCAATATTATATGCAAATGAGCTATCTTATAAAGATCACTTGATTGCCAAATGTTTTTAATAAATTTAAACATGGCCAGCGATTGGCTATGACATGAAAATAAAAGGCCATTGGTACAAACATTAAATAAATACTACAGAAACCACATGTGTTTAATTCAGTCATAGATCAGGTACACCACATCTATTGGCCAGGTCATTTTACTGATGTTGATAAGACTTGCTAAAATATCATAAGTGTCATCACAGTGTTGACAGCTTTTACATTTTTTACAAAGAAACAATCATAAAGTGTTTTCTGTCTTAGATTGATCCCGTAAAGCCCTTTGTCTTTCCATGGATTCTTTAAATTTTTTGTTCTTCATCATATCTTCACCATAGCTTGGCATATCTTTCATGAGCTGTTCCTCAACTTCCAAGTCATAATCACTAGTAAATGCAAAATACAAAGCCAGAATTGTACCAACAGGAAGAAGAATACTTAAAGCTTTGCTAAACCAAATTCGACTTTTGCTCCATGACTTGCTTCGATTTGGATAAAGATTTTCCATCAAATCAACTTTCTTTGGGTGATTGGCACTTTGTGAAAACTTGAATTCCTTAGCATGCTCTGTTTCTGAGGTTCTATGTTGTGATGTCGAAAAGCTAATGGAAAATAATATCAAAAGTTTTAAAATTCCAACAAGGTCTAAAAATCTCATCCCATCAAATACAGTTGCCTTCACCATGCCATCGGCAGTGCCAAAGTAACTGAATGTCCTTACCCGCCTTGGGGCAACGATTGTAAGTGACGTTTGCAATAAAAAAGGATTCTCATACTTATCGTATTTCAGAGGCAAGAAAAGTCGTCTTGGTCATATAACGAACTACGGCCTCTCATCTGGTTATCAGTCCACGCCAGGGTATGTAAATAGTTTACTAGTTATCTCAGATGCATGGATTTGATGGAGGAAGCCTTAACTGCCCCCAATTATGTGAACCACCCTACGACAACGAGGAGCAATCCTCTTGCACATAAAAATCAACCCTACAGGATTTGACCTGTGCATGATAATCAGAGGTGCAATGGCAATCGTGTTCTTTTGGCGTGAAACGCCAACCGGTTAATGTTTAGTCATCCTATCTAAGAAAATTAACTTACCTCTTGAACTTATATGACTGCCTTTTTAAAGATGCAATGAACATTTGTCTGTGACTTGCCAACATTATGTCAGATTATTTTATGATAAAAGTTCTAATACAAAGCATGCAATGAAACAATAAAAGAAGTGAAAAACTACCAGATCACATGAAAATAAAACAACATAACATGGCAAGAAATAAAGATCATAGTCTTATATAAACAGGATGAAAAACGCAGCGGTGACAAAAATTTCCTTACAAAAGAAAGAGATGATTGTTGTGGAGTGGCAGTATGGATTGCTAATTTCAACTGAATTGTGGAATTATCATTAGCACCAGGGGTTGGAAATACATTGTATATTAATTTTCTATAATTTTATAATATTAATACATAATGAAATTGAGACAGTATGTCACTTATAATAATAAAAGTAATAAAACACAAAATTTGCCAAGTCTAATCAACAATATGTGCATCATCAGCCTTAATTTATTTTTGAGAATTGAAAAATATTTTCATAACATACCCATAAAAATGCATGATGTACTACAGGAATATTTAGAACATGGTTTATTTTTTTGGAAGTTTTTAACTAAAAATCATGCTTGAAACGGACCACTCTTTAAATATATGAGCATGGTGAGGTGAAATATAAAGTACAAATATTGGGCACCCATAATTGTATAGCAAGTCATAGTTAAATATTATCATATTTATTGAAATAGTTCATCTTTATTACTATCCAAATCATTAATTTATTTGAGAAAGAAATAATGAAAGCTTTTCACTATTAAAGTGAGTTGAATGTTTGTCAAATTTGATGTACTGTGTGCCTGTAACTTCTAGTTTTATGGATTCAAAACTTCAATAAATAATAAACTCCAGGGGTGAATCAGAATGTTTACAAAGATATTTGGGTACAATATCCTAATTTTATTTAAGAGCTTTGAAATGATCATACTAAAAAAATTTGGAAGCTTGTCCTAGAAATAAAATCTGTTATACTGAGGGACAGTCAATATCCAATTATCTACTATTCTGAATGAATTCTCAAGTAATATTTCTGAAGATGAAATATGGGATGTTTTCTAATTGAGTGATATTCAACAAATAACACATAGAAGTAACTGTGTTGCAGAAAAGTTAAGATAAAAAGCGATTGGATTTTATTTATAGTTTTCAGAAATTAAAATTTCAATTAATTTCTTAGACCGCAATTGCTCGAAACAAAACTATTTAAAATTACTCCTTAATGCTATTTAAATTGGGCACTTTAAAAATGCAGTGATAATAATAAAGAAATAAAAACAAAATAGTATAGATAATATTAATAATAATTCCTTTTGCAATGCAAAATAAGTAATGTAACAGAATATATATTTGAATTGCAACTTAATGAAAAATCATGACTAGCAAGAAACATTTATTTTAAGCGTCTTAATTTGTAGCTAATGTCGTCAGAGTTAACACAATTTGATTTTTCTAGTGGTTCATCCACAAGTTTTCTTTTTAATATTTTCCTTGATGAATTTTGTCGATTAGTATCAATTTCCTTTAAAGAGTCAATTTTACAATCATCAAGAATCAATTGATTTGCATGAAAACCCATGGAAAGGAGTTTTTTGCGCACTCCGGATTGACCGTGAACCTCAACACAAATGTCACATACAAAAGGCGCATTAGCATTTTTCAAAGTACTGCAAGCAACATGAGAGCCAGAACTTCCACAAAATAAACAGACAACAATTTCCCATAAAGTTTTTGAAGAGTGGTGTTTTCTGCCGTGCTTACATTGACATTCTGTGACATCACATTGGAAATGGTTTTCAAGTAAATCGCTAAACGCTTCAGGTGTTTCCCATAATGCATCTCTATTGGGAATGTAAATCCCCATTCTAAACATTTCATTTGTGTATTCATCTTTGTTGTTACATGCTGGACATCTGAAAAAAAACAAGCCTGAAGACAAAGCCTGCTTTTGTACACATTCATGATGGAAATAGGTTTCTTTGCAACAAGGTGACATCAATGAAATATTGTTATTTAACGAGTCAAAAATCTCAAAACACATGCAGCACGAAGCATTTTTTATTTTGGAAGGTAAAAGTTGTGGTTGTGTTGGCCTGTGTTTCTTACAAAATGATTTAAAACCACCAAAATATTGGAATAACATGTGCCGATCGCGTCCACAACTAAAATGAACCTTTGCTTTACAGTGAGCTATATTGCAACCAATGTTGGCACCGTGTTTAAAACAAAATGTGCATTTCAATTTTGCGCCACGCTTAAACTCATCAATAATGTCTTTAATATAAAAGCCATACAAAGACTTTGGAGATTGAGCTTTATCACAATCAGCATCCTTGCATCGTTGAACAAGACCACTGGCAAGTAAGAGACAAAAATAATGAATCCATATTCCCGATCGTTTATGATGAACAAATGCTCCGAACTCATCTTCATCATCTTCTTTACTCCTACAGTACAAGCAAACTTTGCCACGAAAAGATGCCAGAAAACCCTCCTGAAACTTTTTAGTATCCAACGTTATTCCCAATTTCTCCAACTTTGGCACAAAGGCTGGAACGACATCCTGTTTCTGTATGCTCGTTTTAATCTTTGGCATGTTCCAGTCAGATGTTAGTTTGGTCGTCGTTTCCTAGTCTATATTTACAGCAATGGCGCAGCTCTTTATAACAATAATTTATCAGAACGGATTTTTACTTATTTTAAATGCAATTTAATACGGATACACCTCTGTAACATTTTCTAGAATAGATAACCAGCAAAGTGAATAATAATTAATATTTGCTTCGGACAGAAGTTAAAAAATAACATTTCTGTGTTGCGTCACCTTACGGATATAAATTCAACATACCGGTATATTGTCCTTTGGGTCAATATTTCCCTTTCAAGGAAACGAAACAAAAACACACTACATTTTCGCTCACCTAAATTTTCTAAACAAACTTTTCTACACGTAAATATAATCCAATGCCCTGAATTCAAGAAAAAATATCGAGGAGTTAGAAACTATATACGGTACAGTAGTTGGACTTCCACAGTCAGTTGGCGAAACACAGAACCCCTACCGGTACTCACAGGTTTTAACTGGTAAGACGCGTTTTGCCATTCAATTCCCACTCCAGGCTGTCCATATCAAATAACAAAAAAAATTGACTAAATACAGGTAAACCTGAGTATTTTTTTCAAATCTGAAGGCATACTAAACAAATAAGATCGGAAGCATGAACAAAGTAGCCTACTCGTATTCGACCGGAAACTAACAAGAACACAGATACTCTTATCAGGCGATTAATTAGCAACACAAAAGATCAATCTAAGATATCGAGCCTGCGTCTTTCTATTACTTATAAACCTTTACAATACAAGAGAAGAAGAAGAAAGAGAACCAAATTAAATGATTGGTTGATTGAGAATCGACAGTAAGCGCGAGTTTGAGCTTGTATGTCAGTACATTTTAGGAAGCGCTGTTGTTGTTTTTTTATTATATATTTTGCAATGCTATCGTTCACCCGCTTCGGATGTAAGGAAATGCTTTACAAATATAACACTCTCCGTATCGTGATACAAGATTAGTAAATGCAAGCTAATACGGTGTAAATGACTATTGACGGAAGTATTTTAGAGCAGTGATTTTCAACCGGTGTTCAGTGAGAGACCTGCAGCCAGGTGTTCCGCGAAAAATTGCTTTTCGGAGTATTATGACGTCATAACTGAAAAATTAACCAGCCGATAAACGTATACAAATTACACATGGCAGGGTTAAAATTAAAATTCTCTGGTGTACTTCTAAAAACTTTCTGGACTGAGGCCTTCGGGAAATTTCCAACTCTTGCTAAAAAGCGATTTTAATCTTGCTACCACTTTTCACTACTAATATTTGCAAAATAATTTTTTTGAGCATGATCGACCAAGGCTGGACAAAATAATCGATTAGCGAATGGAAAATTAAAATATTCGAATGGCATTTTACTACTCGTATATCCGAAACCACGCGACTTGTACCGATCTGCTTATCAATCGCTTGGATTGCGCGAGAATTCACCCTCCGCGTTTGCTGTTATTTTGCAAAAAGAGCGCCGACAACATTTCGTAGATGTAGAAACGTCAATCCAAATAAGCTATTTAGATTTTAGAATAACGTTCTTGGACTTTAAAGATGTTATTAACCATTCCATGCATGACCGGGATATAAAAATCATTATCGGAAATTAAGAGTTACAAAGACGATTTTAATACATGGTGGAAACGGCAATTTTAGGTTGTCAGAAAATTCGAGGTATAATTATAAATAGCATCGATTTGAAAATAGTGAGTCAGAGTTTTGAAAATCTGGTATAAAAAACTCTTGGACTTTCTAACACCCCGGCGTGTGTTTTTAGTGACTTCAGAGAATGTTTCAAAAATGTGAACATTATACTCGACCATGAATGGAGTCATCATTGATTAACTTTCGTTGCATTTTGAAGCTTTTCTTGCAGTAGTAATTAGGGCATCAAAATCGTTAAGTGAAGTGTTAAATTTTTCGGTGACAGTTTTAGCTATGATCGTGTTCGTGGTATTGTTTTGTTGAAAAAAAAATCGTTGAAACTTGAGGTGATTGATTCTAATCAGCGTCTTCCCTTCTACTAGACACAAAAGCACTTGGGCACAAAATTGTTTACAATTTTTTTTGGTATCAGGTCGCGTATGTAAAATATCGTTCAAGATGGGCTCTTTATCGTCGTCTTGCCTAACGGCCATGTAGAAATGCCCTTATTTCAGATTTTAAATCAACATTTAAGATTCACGCAAGCATAGCTTTGCACTGTGGGACTGGGACGTTCAATTTGCAAACGACGATAAGCTAGATAAAACCCGACGCAAAAGATGAAAAGTCAGAATAAAATTAATTCAAGCTTCGAAATCACTTCCTAATGTCATTAACATCTGTCGCCGATGTGAATGCATAGTTAAACCAATAATATGAAACTTTGATCTCCGCCGACCCACAAGAATCAATACTTGCGCACAGGAACAAAAGGTGGAAATATGAAACCGTACAGGGGACAAAAAAAAAATCATCGATTATGACGAAATTAACCAGTAAAAATCGCTTTATTGCCGATTTTCAATTTTTCTCCCAAACCGACGTTCTGGAATCCTGTCGAGTGTAAAAATATATTCGTTGTTATTGGACTATTTGGTATTCGTTAGAAATATTCGAATTATTTGAGTTGAAAAAATATTTGACTTTACCCACCACTTTATTGGCAGCCATGAAAGTTAAAAAACGTGGGAAATTAAGAGTCGTTGAGAAGTAGCTGCGTGTTTGTCTCTTTTCAAATTCCAGTCATAATCACATTTTTAAAACCCATCGAAACAAGCCCAAACATGAGACTAAAATACTATTCCCATTTCTAGCTAATCATAGTATATATATATGCATGAGCAAACTCGCAAAAACATTTATTTGTACCATACGTTAGCTCTTGTAGCTCTAGATCGGAATGTGTCACGTCTTTTCCAGCTAAAGTGGACAAGTTATATTATTATTCACGTTATATGAATTGGAATCTCTAATATAAAACTTCGGTGCACAAGACAATAATGACAATGCTCGCAAATAACGACGATGAAGTTTTGTCTGTCAACCCTCTTCATCACTTCACTCGCATTCAGTTGTGGTGACGATATAATCATTGTCTTTAAACGACCTAGAAATAAATTGCTTTCAAGAATTCGCCCCCCTACAAGAAAATCATTAATTTCACTCAATAACAGCTGTTGGTTTCTCCATCCCCAATCTTTAACTGTGGGATCTTTTGAAACTGCTGAACCTAGGATTAGAAAGTCATTTAGTTACTCAGGAAAGTTAAAACATCGTCGATGACAGAAAATTTTGTGATCGAGTCATATTTTGCATTTTTTAATTCATACAATCATTTAATATTTCTGACTTCGAATAACCCGTAATGAAGATCAAGCAGATACTTTTATTTATATTTATCAACTCGTAAACGTCCACAAGACAGGAAATTGTCACGAAGATATGTTTTAAGAATATACTATAGATTGCGTGCATTTGATTCTGTAGCATTTAGCTGCAAAGACATATTCTCATTTTATCGTTCCTTTCATTTGCTGTCTTGGTTGCGAATGTATAAATTTTTCAAAAACTTGATTAGAAGCATAGTCATTAATTACGATCAATCTACCTTATAAATAAATTTTTTATCAGAATAATTGCTATGTCACGTTAAGGGCATAGCAAAAATAATTATTACATCCCTATTCAAATACAACTTTCGCTATATGATTTTGAAGAGTGACTTTCTTCCCAAACACGCTCAGAGCTTTCATATGTTGAACCGTCCAACGATTGTATAGCACCTTTAAAGAATTTTATGAAGGCAGTGAAAATCAGTAATTAAATTAATTCTAGAATAAATAATGTTATTTTTTGGTCGAGGGATATTTAACAACACGTTATTGGGTTGTTCACTACCTATGAAACACAATTGATAAAAAAAAGGATGCCTAAATAACCAAATACACGGTACCTATCTTTATTGCGTCACATTTCTCATATCGACCCTTTTCATTATCATTCTGGACGTCTTCGTAAATCGTAATTTGTAAAGTAATCTTTGAATTTTGAGTTTGATGACGGGCGTCACCATCAGTGTTCCCTCTAAGAAAATTTCACACTGCGCAAATGTTGTTTTTACTCAACTAGACTATTTTAAGGCTGAGCAGAATCGTAAATTATTTGCTTTATTAGCACACCAATGGATGCAGTATTGAATGCATGCTCAGAAACACCACTGGCATTAAGAAGAAAACAATTATACTTGAATTACCGATTAAAATTACAAAACTCGGTTCAACTTACCTCAGCAAAAGTACTCGAAGAATCCTGGCAACATGAATATGTGGGAGATAAATTTGTATCATTCAAAACTATAACAGAGCTTGAAGAAAATGACTTGTCAAAACCTGAAAATAAAGACCAAATAAAACATTATGTACAAGAAAGATGGAATATACAATATAAACAAAACATATCAGGACTATACTATAAAAGAATATTTCCGGAAATATTACCAAATTACTCGAAAAAAATAAAAGAATCAAGAATACAAACAAGAAATATTTTTAGACTTCAAACAGGACATGGTATGCTAAATAAACATCTTTCGAAATTCAATAAAAATGTAGATGAAATATGCGACCAATGCAACAGGGAAGTTGAAGACACTGAACATTTTTTAATACACTGTCCAAAATATGAACAATATCGAACCAACATTCGAAATCTTTGCAGAAGAAAAAATGTACCATTTACATGTGAAAACATACTATATGAGGTGAAATTTAGAAATGCCATAAATTGGTTCATCATTCAAACTGGAAGAAAACTTTGAACACATTACAAAATACTATACTTACCAATCTGAGAATCAAAACAAAACTGAAAGCACAACCGAGTTGTTGACAAGCAGGTTCACGCCATGACGACAAAAAATGGCTGTAGCGAATTGGTAAAGTGTGTGCAATTTTACTGCAATAGAATAGTGCAAAGAGCATATATATATATTCATTGAATAGTGTGAAGTGTTTTTTTTTTCACAACATTTTAGTGACAGATTTTCCATTGTTCAGCACGAAATGCTATTTTGCGAAGTGCTTTTTATTTCACTTTTTAAATAAAAAAATAAAAATAAAAAAATTTGCAAACTTTGTGAAATGTAGTAATAGTAGCTTATTATATCGTCACGCTAATAACCTAATTGCGTAAGTTATTTTTGGCGATTTTGAGTTTTTTATAAAATAGGTATTTATGTAATGCTGCGCACCTGTCCGTTAAATCAGATTTTATTTCAAGAATTCCGAAACCCATAAAAATGGAGATTTAGTACGACATGCACATTTGTGCAATTGTTTCGTCATAATGAATTATAATTGTCAACGTAGGACTATTGTGACGTCACAAAGGCAAAATAACCTCGGCGAAGTATTTTCGAGTTTGTGCATCTCG